AAGATGTTAAAAAACGAGATGATTTTGTCAGATTCCTGATCTTACGTCCATGCCAACTCCATATAGATGTCTTTGTTGCTGAAGCACCAGTCACGAGCTCATAAGTTCTATCTTCTTTTAATTGATTTTTTCACTCCCGCATGATCTTTTAGTGATGAAATTTTTCACTCTCACCCTAGCTCAAAACCGATTCTAGCTCCCGTGCGTAGACGCGCGACGGGCAGGCGCAGGAGCGAGCAGCTACAGATCGGCGCGACATGCGCCAGACAGACCAATCAACCAAGAGCACCCAAGGTCACCGCAGCCCGCACCGCCCCTGGCACTCTGCCAGCTCCTGGTCGCTGTGTGGGCGAGCGAGAATGAGAGTGGCAGTGGTGCTCGGTGGAGGGTGGGAGGCGGAGGGGCACAATCCATCCCCGCACGCGCGCGCTGCCGGAGACACCTGGCCGTACTGCTGACACGCGGCAGACTGGGAAGGTGTTGCGCTGACAGTGGGACGATCTGTGAGCGAGAGCTTGGAGCAACGCTATGTTCAGCTGGCTGCTATCGGCGCCGTGGGCGGTGGCCTCCTGGCTGCTGTCGCCAATCCCGCTAACAGTGCTATTGGCCGCTCTCGCCTACGCCTACTTCAAGTTCACTAAGAATTTCGACTTCTGGCCCTCACGCGGCGTGCCCGGACCAAAAGCGACGCTACCTTGGGGAAACGAGTTTGGAGTGCCGTTCTTAACACCGGTCGTCGAGTTCGAGCAGTGGCTCTACAGCAAGCACGGGGGCAAGAAGTACTGCGGCTACATGGAGATGAGCCGGCCCGTGCTGTTCGTCGGCGATCCGGACCTGATCCGGGCCATCACCATCAAGGACTTCGAGCACTTCACCAACCGACGGGAGGCCGGTACCGACGATGAGCTGAAGGATGCCCTCAGTGTTGTCAACGGGGAGGTGTGGAAGCACACGCGGGCCGTCATGTCGCCCACCTTCTCCGCCAGCAAGCTTAAGGCGATGCACCAGCTAACGCTGGACAACGCTCTCAATCTAAAGAAATATGTGTTAGGAGACATGCAGAGCAAAGGAGAAGTTGAAATGAAGGACGCCTTCGGGCGATTTACCATGGACAACATAGCATCTTGCGCCTTTGGCGTGAACTGCAACTCTTTTGTCGATCCAAACAGCAAATTTGCAACGAATGCAGCAAAATTGTTTTACCCTGGAGCGCTCGGTTTTCTGCGTATTCTTGCGTTCCTAACTTTACCGAAGTTCATTGCTTCGTGGTTTCCCAATCCGGGGAAGAAGGTGTTGAAGTTCTTCACCGACGTCGTTAACACGACCGTCTCTCACCGCGAGAAGCACCCAACGTCCGTGCGAGACTTCTTGCAGCTGTTGATGGACACGAAGGACAAGGACGGTAACCGCGTGCTCAGCACCGACAGCATTGTCAGCCAGTCGGTGTTGTTCTTCCTTGCCGGGTACGACACGACGGCCACGCTGCTGACGTTCGCGTCGTACAGCCTGGCTGTCAGTCCCGATATGCAGCGCCGGGCGCAGCAGGAGGTGGACGATGTTTTGGCCAAGCACGGCGGTCAGATGACGTACGACGCCGTGCTGGATATGACGTACCTGGACCGGGTGCTCTTGGAGACGCTGCGCCTGTACGCGCCTGCCACGCGACTCGAGCGCGAGTGTACCAAGGATTATACTCTGCCCGGCACGAACGTGCACCTGCCCAAGGGCACGTTGGTGCAGATACCGGTGCTTGTGCTCCACCGCGACCCGGACCACTACCCGGACCCGCTGCGCTTCGACCCGGACCGTTTCTTGCCCGAAGAGAAGGAGAAGCGCCACCCGTGCGCCTACCTGCCGTTCGGCCAAGGACCGCGCAACTGCATCGCCATGCGGTTCGCGCTGTTCGAGGCGAAGGTGGCGCTCGCGGCGCTGTTGCAGAAGATGACACTGCTTCCGACGGAGAAAACGCCCCCGCCGCCGATGCCACTTGACAAGAGGTCGTTTTTTACTACACCCGAGGGCAGAAAACTGCCCCTGAAGGTGGAGCTGAGGGCTAGGGACGACTGAGACGTGACAACGCCTCTGCATGAGTGTTGGCAGATCGTGAGTCTTCTGAATAATTCGTTATCATGGCATAGGATTGCCTAAGGATGTTGGGGAACTGTATTACTAATTCACAACAGACATATGAGTAACTGAGTGTTAGCAACGTGGCTTCATGTAATTATGTTTTTCAGATAAAAGTACTTGATCTCACGTTATCCGCTGCGGCTTACCTGTCGTAATAAAACGAGCTTCGTACCAGCATGATGCCCATGGTAAATACATTGCTGTGTATATCAGCTGGCAGTGTCGAACAATTTTGGAATGGGTTTTAAGCCATCACTTGCATGACAAGAATGAACATGTTGGAAACGCGTGATGAATGTATCATATACACGGGCATGGGTAGCAGTAGAATCGGGGTGGTCGCAGAAACCCTTAACAAAAACACAAAACGATTGCAATGCTGGCAGGCAATGATACGTGCTGGCTTTTGTTTTGCCCCAGCGACTTAAAGCCATTGCCGGGATTGGGGGAGCTAACTTCAGGCTTAAGACCAGGCAAAAAGCTACCCTATGCCGGCTTGTGCTACCCGGCGCAAAGCACGGGACAGGGGTAAGCTACGTTACGTTCAACCGGCTAATGCTGTGCGGTATCAATGTCAGAAAAACGCGCGCAAAACTACTTTAAACCTGCTGATTTCGTCCCGTAGCAAATGCAAAGTAAAACACGACACACACACACACACACACACATTCATTGTATTGAACAATCACACTACGCTTGGATGACAGACGACCACCTCATTCCCGCAAAGGTTTCCCCGCACGGCAAACGGCGGGCCCCCGGCTCGGCGGTCAAGTCCGTCATCGCCCTGAACCGGGTCACTCCCCCACACTGAATGAGGGGAGCGGCCCGGTGCGACCTTGTTGTGTTGTGTAATGTAATCCGGGAAAGGTCGTAACTAAAAAAACAGCCAGATTCCTAAACCATACGTGCTGGCGGGACGGAAAAGCAGGCATTCAAAGCATTTCTATTACACATTCAGTTTCCTAGGGGTCGCCTTAGATGTCCGAACTTTACGAGACGGCCGTTTGGGCGCGAAAACTCTCGGAGGAACAGACTTGCCAAAAAGCCGCTACGGGTAGGGGCACCTTGACTGGAACGGCCTCCTATGACCCGATTTAGCACCCCCGCCCCCCGGGCGGAATCCTGTCCACGCTGCTGAAGGTGCGTGGGTAGCCCTTGCCCGACATGGTCCGCATTGACGGTCAAGACTCTGCGGGGGGCCCTATTTTTAGGCCCATAATTTCGTAAACAGGGCCTCTTGGGACGTAAGAGAAAATTCCTTTTAGAGATAAGAACTTAAGAAGAACCCGCACTTCGCCCAGTTTCTTGCCAAAGCTGGTTGCTTGCCAAAGTTGAAGTCTCCTGAACGTATAGACAACTGCATCCCTGCTTTTAAGCTAATATCACAGCAGCAAATGCAATGCAAGGACGGTTGAAACGGTGCTGCATCCATAGTTTTGATATAATACTTTATGCACAGCTATACTTAAGCGTCTTAACAGTCCAGAGCACCAGAACAAGGACAACATAATTTGAGATACTTTAAGCCGGATAGGGCCGGCATAATCGATGTTTACAATTACGCCGACATTTCTACGATTCGATCTTCGTGCGGCGCCAAATCAGGATGAACTATCGGCCGCACGCATTTTTCCTCTTAGAGCACCAAATTGTCTAGTTCAAGGCCTAAAAAGTCCACTGTAGGCGGCAATGTCACACGGCAGCACCCGACGCGAATGAGGTTGGGATCCTAACCTTCCCCTGTCGCAAATCCTGGCAGCCCTCCTCCCGTCTCAAGTGCTGACTGCCCCTGTCGTGAATGGATGACGACTTGAGTCCAATTCCTGCATTCTATTTTTTTTTTTTTGTAATTCGCATCGCAATCTGGCCCCAATGGCACGTGGTTGGCGATGGGCTTGTAAGTAGCGAGATGTGTGATTGATACTCATGACGCGTGTGTTGAGTGTGTTGAGTACGAAGCAATGCACACCGTGTTGCACGCATGTAAAGTTTCAGTCAAAAGCGTGAACTCGTACATGGACAGTCATGGTTGTAGGAATAAGGGGGAGGGGGGCAGGGGGTCATGACCCTGCACTTTTCAAGGTGGGGGGCAGCAATGTTAACTACCTCCCCCACTTTTCAGATTAAGGTTGTGTTTAGCTTATGTTTGCACCACATTAAACACACGTGCCGATTTGTTTAGTTCACCAGCCATCTCCCTCAAGATATGTCATCCTTTTCGTTTGCTTATTGGCCATCGCTTAGTATCACAGCCACAGACCGACGCCGCGCGGCCTATGGAGACTGCAACGCTGGGCGTCGAAGCTGTTGTTGCCATGACTTGCGAGCGCGCATTTTCAAACCACATTGCGTAGTGTTTTTTTTGTATCAGTTATCAATTCTGCGTGAATCTTGAACCGGTTAAAACGAACATTGATTAGTCATGTTATGCAAATGTGAGACCCCATTTCATTTGCAATCTACGTTCAGGAAGTCTCGATATCTCTGAAGAGCACAGAAAGACATTAACATGTAGTTTATGTGACAATTATTGGACCACCTGCGGCTATCAGGGATGTTGTTGTATCAGTGATGGTTCCTCTGCTCATTCGGGGCCAACTGCGCGGGTCAGAAGACCTCCCGTGTCAGGGAGGGGAACAACATGGTATGATGCATCCTTCTAATGACCACCGAATAGACCAGGAGATCCCGCCCCGTGTCGCGAGAATGACAGCCAGAAGACACTTCGGGATAGGACGGGGTAGTCCTTCAGCCCTTGGCCAGCCGCCCAAACACACAGCAGCAAATTTGCATCGAATGCGGCAAAACTGTTTAACCCTGGAGCGCTTTGTTTTCTACGGATTGTTGCGGTACTGACTTTACCGAAGTTCATTTCTTGCTGGTTTCCCAATCCGGGGAAGAAGGTGGTGAAGTTCTTCACCGACGTCGTTGACACGTCCGTCGCTCACCGAGAGAAGCACCCAACGTCCGTGCGAGACTTCTTGCAGCTGTTGATGGACACGAAGGACAAGGACGGTAACCGTGTGCCCAGCACCGCCAGCATTGTCAGCCAGTCGTTGTTCTTCCTTGCCGGGTACGACACGACGGCCACGCTGCTGACGTTCTCGTCGTACAGCCTGGCTGTCAGTCCCGATGTGCAGCGCCGGACGCAGCAGGAGGTGGACGATGTTTTGGCCAACCACGGCGGCCAGATGACGTGCGACGCCGTGCTGGATATGACGTACCTGGACCGGGTGCTCTCGGAGACGCTGCGCCTGTATTCGCCTGCCACGCGACTCGAGCGCGATTGTACCAAGGACTATACTCTGCCTGGCACGAACGTGCACCTGCCCAAGGGCACTTTGGTGCAGATACCGGTGCTTGTGCTCCACCGCGACCCGGACCACTACCCGGACCCGCTGCGCTTCGATCCGGACCGTTTCTTGCCGGAGGAGAGGGAGAAACGCCACCCGTGCGCCCACCTGCCGTTCGGCCAAGGACCGCGCAACTGCATCGCCATGCGGTTCGCGCTGTTCGAGGCGAAGGTGGCGCTCGCGGCGCTGTTACAGAAGGTGACATTGCTGTCGACGGAGAAATCGCCCCGCCGCCGGTGCCACTGGACAAGAGGGCGTTTTTAACTACACCCGAGGGCAGGAAGCTGCCCCTAAGGGTGGAACTGAGGGCTAGGGACGACTGAGACATGACAACGCCTCTGCATGAGTGTTGGCAGATCGTGAGCCTTCTGAATAATTCGTTATCATGGCATAGGATTGCCTAAGGATGTCGGGGAGCTGTGCTTACTAACTAACGAAAGACATATGAGTAACTGAATATTAACAGCGTAGCTTCATGTAATTTATGTCTTTCAGATTGTCGTATTTGGACGTGCTTCGTACCACTATGATGCCCATGGTGAATACATCGGTTTGTATATCAGTTGGCAGTGCGGAAAAATTTGGAATGGGTTTTTAAGCCATCATTTGCATGACAAGAACGAACATGATGGAAACGCGTGATGAACGTATGATATACACAAGCATGGGTAGCAGTGGAATAGGGATGGTCGCAGAAACCCTTGAAAAAACACAAAGTGATTGTAAAGCTGGAAGACATAATGATACATACTGGATTTCGCTTTGCCCTGGGGACTTTAGGTCGTTGCAGGAGCTGGGGAAAGTTACTTCTGGCTTAAGACAAAAAGTTACCTTATGCCGGCTTGTGCCATCCGGCGCAAAGCACGGGACAGGGGAAAGCTGTGTTGCGATAAGTCGACGTATGCTGTGCGGTATCAATGAAAAAATTGCGCTCAAAGCTACTTAAAACCGGCTAATTTCGTGCGGTAGCAAATGCAAAGTAGAACACGAGAGACGCATACACGTTCCTTGTATTCAACAATCACAATACGTTTGAATGACAGACGACCCCCTCATCCCAGCAAAGGTTTCCCCGCACGGCAAACGGCGGGCCCCCGACTCGGCGGTCAAGTCCGTCATCGACCTGAACCGGGTCACTCCCCCACACTGAATGAGGGAAGCGGCCCGGTGCGACCTTGTTGTGTTGTGTAATGTAATCCGGGAAAGGTCGTAACTAAAAAATACCGGATTCCTAAACGTTACGCGCTGGCGAGACGGAAAAGCAGGCAGAGCTACAGGTCAGCGCGGCTCGCGCCCGCGCGCGCGCACTTTGCTCTCGGCTGACAAACCAATCAGCCAACAGGATCTCAAGGTCGCCGCGCCGCTCTTGGCGCTCTGCCAGCTCCCAGGCGCTGTGTGGTGGAGTGAGAGCGTGTCAGCAGTACTCGGAGAAGGATCCCGGGTGAGGGGCGCGCGGTGCGTACCCGCACGCATTTGTCGCCGGAGACACCTGGCGGCACTGCTGACAAGCGGCAGACTGGCAAGGTGCTGCGCTGACAGTGGGACGATCTGTGAGCGAGAGCTTGGAGCAACGCTATGTTCGGCTGGCTGCTATCGGCGCCGTGGGCGGTGGCCTCCTGGCTGCTGTCGCCAATCCCGCTAACAGTGCTGGCGGCCATTCTCGTCTACCACTACTTCAAGTTCACCAAGAATTTCGACTTCTGGCCCTCACGCGGCGTGCCGGGACCAAAAGCGACGCTACCTTGGGGAAACGAGTTTGGAGTGCCGTTCTTAACACCGGCCGTCGAGTTCGAGCAGTGGCTCTACAGCAAGCACGGGGGCAAGAAGTACTGCGGCTACATGGAGATGAGCCGGCCTGTGCTGTTCGTCGGCGATCCGGACCTGATCCGGGCCATCGCCATCAAGGACTTCGAGTACTTCACCAACCGACGGGACGCGGGTGCCGAGGATGAGCTGAAAGATGCCCTCAGTGTTGTCAACGGGGAGGTGTGGAAGCACACGCGGGCCGTCATGTCGCCCACCTTCTCCGCCAGCAAGCTTAAGGCGATGCACCAGCTGACGCTGGACAACGCTCTCAATCTGAACAAATATGTGCTAGAAGACATGCAGAGCAAGGGAGAAGTTGAAATGAAGGACGCCTTCGGGCGATTCACCATGGACAACATAGCATCCTGCGCCTTTGGCGTGAACTGCAACTCTTTTGTTGATCCAAACAGCATATTTGCAACGAATGCAGCAAAACTGTTTAACCCTGGAGCGCTTGGTTTTCTACGGATTGTTGCAGTACTGACTTTACCGAAGTTCATTTCATCGTGGTTTCCCAATCCGGCGAGGAAGGTGGTGAAGTTCTTCACCGACGTCGTTAACACGACCGTCGCTCACCGCGAGAAGCACCCAACGTCCGTGCGAGACTTCTTGCAGCTGTTGATGGACACGAAGGACAAGGACGGTAACCGCGTGCTCAGCACCGCCAGCATTGTCAGCCAGTCGGTGTTGTTCTTCCTTGCCGGGTACGACACGACGGCCACGCTGCTGACGTTCGCGTCGTACAGCCTAGCTGTCAGTCCCGATGTGCAGCGCCGGGCGCAGCAGGAGGTGGACGATGTTTTGGCCAAGCACGGCGGCCAGATGACGTACGACGCCGTGCTGGATATGACGTACCTGGACCGGGTGCTCTCGGAGACGCTGCGCCTGTACGCGCCTGCCACGCGACTCGAGCGCGAGTGTACCAAGGACTATACTCTGCCCGGCACGAACGTGCACCTGCCCAAGGGCACTTTGGTGCACATACCAGTGCTTTCGCTCCACCGCGACCCGGACCACTACCCGGACCCGCTGCGCTTCGACCCGGACCGTTTCTTGCCGGAGGAGAAGGAGAAGCGCCACCCGTGCGCCTACCTGCCATTCGGCCAAGGACCGCGCAACTGCATCGCCATGCGGTTCGCGCTGTTCGAGGCGAAGGTGGCGTTCGCGGCACTGTTGCAGAAGATGACACTGCTGCCGACGGAGAAAACGCCGCCGCCGCCGATGCCACTTGACAAGAGGGCGTTTTTGACGACACCCGAGGGCAGAAAACTGCCCCTGAAGGTGGAGCTGAGGGCTAGGGACGACTGAGACATGACAACCCTCTGCATGAGTGTTGGCAGATCGTGAGCCTTCTGAATCATTCGTTATCATGGCATAGGATTGCCCAAGAATGTTGGGGAGATGTATTACTAACTAAGAACAGACATATGAGTAACTGAATATTAACAACGTGGCTTCATGTGATTTATGTCTTTCAGATTGCCGTATTAGAACGTGCTTCGTACCAGCATGATGCCCATGGTGAATACATCGGTTTGTATATCAGTTGGCAGTGTGGAAACATTTTGGAATGGGTATTAAGCCATTGTTTGCATGACAAGAGCGAACGTGATGGAAACGCGTGATGAACGTATGATATACACGAGCATGGATAGCAGTGGAATCGAGATGGTCGCAGAATCCCTTGAGAAAAGCTCAAAATGATTGCAATGCTGGAAGACATAATGGTGCGCCCCGACGAGACAGAAAAGCAGGCGGAGCTACAGGTCAACACATGCGGTCTTCCTCTTGGCTAACAAACCAATCAGCCAACAGGAGCTCAAGGTCGCCACGCCACTCTTGGCGCTCTGCCAGCTCCGAGACGCTGTGTGTTAGCAGTGCTCGGAGAAAGATCTCGGGTGCGGGATGCGTGGTGCATACACGCACGCCGGCGTCGTCGAAGACACCTGGCCCTACTACTGACACGCGGCAGACTGGGAAGGTGCTGCGCTGACAGTGGGACGATCTGTGAGCGAGAGCTTGGAGCAGCGCTATGTTCGGCTGGCTGCTATCGGCGCCGTGGGCGGTGGCCTCCTGGCTGCTGTCGCCAATCCCACTAACAGTGCTGGTGGCCACTCTCGCCTACGCCTACTTCAAGTTCATCAAAAATTCCGAGTTCTGGCTTTCACACGGCGTGCCGGACAAAAGCGACGCTACCTTGGGGAAACAAGTTTGGAGTTTGGAGCGCTTGGGGAAATGTGCTCGTAAGCCTTCGTCCTTGGGTTCTCCAGCAATACGATTTTTTGTGCGTTTTTCTCGAGAGTTTCTGCGACCATACGTATTTCACTGCCACCCATGCTCGTTTCGTGAGTCTTCAAGTGATCTTTAAGCTCTTAAACCTGAAGAGGTGCAATGGGGCAGCCAATGGGGGGGGGGGGGGTATTGTGGTTCGAAAACATTCCTCCTCGAGGTCGCGAGGTCCCTTTTGCTAAGTTGTAGCACTTTAAGACAGCCGTATGACCTCAAACATAAAACGGCTCAGAGTCATCGATGTAGGGACCTGCGCCAAGGAAATCCCGAATTAAAAGATGAGGGCGCTATTTCTATTACACATTCAGTTTCCTAGGGGTCGTCTTAGATGTCCGAACTTTACGAGACGGCCGTTTGGGCGCGAAAGCTCTCGGAGGAAGAGACTTGCCAAAAAGCCGCGACGAGTAGGGGCATCTTGACTGGAACGGCCTCTTCTGACCCGATTTAGCACCCCCGCCCCCCGGGCGGAATCCTGTCCACGCTGCTGAAGGTGCGTGGGTAGCCCTTGCCCGACATGGTCCGCATTGACGGTCAAGACTCTGCGAGGGGCTCTATTTTTAGGCCCAGAACTTCGCAAACAGGGCCTCTTGGGACGTAAGGGAAGGTTACTTTTGGAGATAAGAACTTAACAAGAACCCGCACTTCGCCCAGTTTCTTGCCAAAGCTGGTTGCTTGCCAAAGTTGAAGTCTCCTGAACGGAAAGACAACTGCATCCCTGCTTTTAAGCTAATATCACAGCAGCAAATGCGACACAAGGACGGCTGAAACGGTGCTGCATCCATAGCTTTGATACAATACTCAGTGCACAACCATCATACTTAGGCGTCTTGACAGTCCAGAGCACTAGAACAAGGACAGCATAGTATGAGATAATTTATGAAAGCAAGGCCGGCATAAGCGACGTTTACGATTACGCCGCCATTTCTACTATTCGATCGCCGTGCGGTGCCAAATCCGGATGAACTATCGCCCGCGTACAGTTTTCCTCATAGAGCACCAAACAGTCTAGTTAAGCTCCTAAAAAGTCTACTGACGGCGGCAATATCACACGGCAACACTCGAATGCGATTGGGGTTGGGATCCCAACCTTTCTCTATTGTAAATCGTGCCAGCCTCCCTCCCGTCTCAAATGCTGGCTGCTCCTGTCGTGAATCGATAGCAACCTGCGTCCGATTTCTGCGTCCTTATCTTTTTTTGCAATTCGCATTGCAATCTGTCCCCAATGACACGTGGTTGGCGATGGGTTTGTATGTAGCAAGATGCGTGATTTTTGTTCATGACGAGTGTGTTGAGTAAGAGGCAATGCACGCCGTGTTGCATGCATGTAAAGTTTCAGTCAAAAGCGTGAACTCGTACATGGACAGTCATGGGTGTAGGAATAAGGGGGAGGGGGGCAGGGGGTCATGACCCTGCACTTTTCAAGGTGGGGGGCAGCAATGTTAACTACCTCCCCCACTTTTCAGATTAAGGTTGTGTTTAGCTTATGTTTGCACCACATTAAACACACGTGCCGATTTGTTTAGTTCACCAGCCATCTCCCTCAAGATATGTCATCCTTTTCGTTTGCTTATTGGCCATCGCTTAGTATCACAGCCACAGACCGACGCCGCGCGGCCTATGGAGACTGCAACGCCGGGCGTCGAAGCTGTTGTTGCCATGACTTGCGAGCGCGCATTTTCAAACCACATTGCATAGTACTCTTTTCAGTAATCAACTTTGAGGGAGTCTTGAACTAGTTAATACGAACATTGATTGGTCATGTTATACAAATTTGGGACCCCATTTCATTTACAATCTACGCTCAGGGAGTCTCCATATCTCTGAAGAGCGCAGAAAGACATGGGACTATAGTTTATGTGACAATTATTGGACCACCTGGGGCTATCAGGGATTTTGTTGCATCAGTGAGGGTTCCTATGCTGATTTGGGGCCACCTGCGCGGGTCTGAAGACCTTCCGTGTCAGGGAGGAGAACAACATGATACGATGCATCCTTCTAATGGCCACCGGATCGACAAGGAGTTTCCGGTGGCCAGAATGACAGCCAGAAGACGCTTCGCGATAGGACGGGTTAGTCCTTCAGCCCTTGACCGGAAACGGTATTATGTCCCTGGTGTTCTTCTCAAGGGGTCTCTTCCCGGAAGGAAACAAGAGGTCTTATTATTGTTGACCAGAATGGGTTTCCTATTATTGTTGAATAGTGAGCCGAAATGACGTAAAAAGCGAGCAAGGTCATCACATGTTTGCCTGAGGCGTCCATTTCTTTAGAATGTATTTGTAATAAAAAAACACCAAAAGGTTGGAACATACCCGCCCGCAACCTCGAGAGCAAGGACATCGATGGCCTGGGTTGCAGCTTCCGTAAAATCGAATGGCTTCGGCCACTGCGAGTGCCATCAGACGGCGGGCGCCGTATTAGTCTGTCTTCTGGACATAATAATAGTCACAGGAACACGAAAAATAGATATTCTACCTTTACTCTTCCAGTTCCACCCCAGATTCCAGAACCACTTCGGGTTGCTATAAGGGCCAATCCGTTCTTGTCAGCGGTCTAAAAATCGCACACGCGAAATATGCGCTCAGACCGCCTACTAATTTAAAATTGTTTGTCCCGAAACGTTCGAAGGTGCTGCTTTCGGAAGCATCATCACTTTCGTCCACCCGGTGGGCACGGCTTAGTATCAGCTGCTGGGCGTACTCTGCGTCGCCTACGGAGACTGCAACGCCTGGCGTCGAGGTTTTTGTTACTAAGATATGCGAGTGCGCATGTTACAAAATCACGTCACATAAATTGCATCACTAATCGACTCTGACTGAATGTTAAACATTTCTAGACAAACATGGCTTGGTCACGTTAATACACATTGTTGACGACTCGATCTACAATCAAATTTTCATATTCAAACTTCGATCAGCATATCGATCTACGGTCGACCTCCGCGATATCCTAATTGTCCGTAGAACACAGACAAAACATTCTGACAAAGCTTCTGAGTTCTATCGGTTTATCAACAGTCCACTAAACCACTGTATATTAAGGGGACCAGTAATTTATTCCATGCGGTCGTTCAGTGCCTGATTTCTGCAGTGCATTGACTTTAAGCTGCAAACAGAATTGATCTCACGGTAGGTTCTGGTTTCTATTCTGGTTGCAAGGCAACAATAACAATGAAACGAAGAAAACCGTATCCCATGCTAACAAGTAAGTTATATCCGGGGATTTCTTCTTTTTTTGGGGGGGGGGGGCGGTCACCACAAGAGGGCTTTTGCCAACCCTGTGCTCCCCTTAGCAAGGCTCCGGCTACGCCCTGCCTACACACAAAATCAGATCAAGTCGGGCAATTAAATATCCGTTGAGCGAGTTCAGACCTAACACAGGCAGTTTCCCGGAGACTTTTCTGTATGGTAGTATGGTGTAAGGGAAGATAATTCGGAAAAAGATACTGTTGCAGGTGTCCAATATGTTTTACACACCAATAAGTAGCAATGCTCATCCAAAAGTATGCAACAAAGCAACCATACAGTCAGTTCGCAATTAGTCATGCGGGAGACAGCCGGTCCTGGGCAGTAGCCGCCGACAGCGGACGGTAGGAGGGCCCAGATAAGGAATATATGACAGAAGGGTCCTCATTCTGTGGTTTGGGTGTGAAAGGAGAATCTCCAGTTTCATGGCTTTTGTCACGTTGTTTTTGCAGTTTCAAGCTTCCAAACTGATATCCGCCTAAAATGCTGCGACAAGACTTACCTTTTGAAAAAGAGCCAGCGAAATAAAGGCGCATGCAAAATCTGCCGCACCGTGAGCCAGCGATTCACATTCAGAATTACCACCAGCCTATGTCCAGGCCGTGCTTTGGCATCTGCCTTGTAAGAGCAGATGCCTCCTCAATGACCCGAAAGGCACACCCGGGCGCGGAGTTTCGCGTCTCCAGGAAAGACATTGTTGCAATGAGCAAATCATCTTGGGAAGCTGGACAGCCTTATTTGCCGAATGACATGAATGAGTCGAATCTTTTATTTTTTTTGTTGAAAAAATTGTTCGCGCACCAGTGAAAGACAGCTCTAGATGCATATGTAACATATCAGCCATGACATTTGAACAAAAAACGCTAACAGTCCCAATCTCTACGCCACCCCGCCACCCCCTCCCGGTAATCGGGCTTGCATTCCAAAAAATTCCTGAAGTATACCCTAAGCTTAGCTCCACCGCCACTTTTTAAAACGTGCATACGCCTATGTGAACAGTGTGAACTAAACGCACTGTTCGAGATGGATTTGATGTAGCCCCCGTTAGCATGAACATCGAATGCAATGAAACCGCGAACGCTGGAGCACCGAGGATTGGATTATCCCTGCGGGCTTTCA